TGGTTATTCATTTAATTACTACTTCAATAAGCGGCAATCATTGTTATGACATAGTTAATAGGCCACAAGGTCTGCCATCCACCTACAAAAAAGAAGCTGAAATCAACTGATACATTTAGAGAAAGACACAATCAAAATCATAGTCGTCCAAACGGGACTATCCAATATTCTCTCTGGGCCGTCAGAATAATAGATGTCATCTCTCCAAACCGCCAGACACATGACCGGGCGTCTGCAAAGTGGATGCTGAAATCGCCGTCTAAAGCCCTGATGCGAAAAGGGATGCAGAAAATGTAATCTGAGTAAGTATCCTAGCGGAGGCCGCGTGTTGAAAAAAATAAATTAGGGGTTAATTTTAATTCTCGAGTAAAAAACAGACCAGACCTAAGCAGAGACAGCAGAGAGAGAGAGAGAAGGAGAAGAGAGAGGAGGAGAGCAGAGAGAGAGAGAGAGAGAGAGTAGAGAGACTGAGAGGAGAGTAGAGAGGAGGAGGAGGAGAGAGCAGATGAGAGAAAACGTCAATAGTGATGATTGTGATGGCAATGGCCTTGCTGTAGATGCAATGATAACATGCTAATGATGATAATCATTACCTTCATATGTGTCATTTAAATGTTATTATACACCCATCTAAATTGGTATTAATTTATTACGTTATTATTATTTATTATTATTATTATCGTTATTATTTTTTATTATTGTCGTTTATTATTATTATTATTATTACTATTGCTCTTATTATTGTTGTTTGTTATTATGAATAGTCATAGTAGGTATTGATTAATTGAGATAATAACAAACAATATATTATTGCTCTCAATAGTTTATTATTGTTATTGCTATTTTTATGATGATTATCATTTTTTCATTATCATTATTATCAAATACTACTACTGTTGTCTTTATCTTTTCATCATTGTTATCATAAATCTTCATAATAACTCAATAATGATCTTCCCTCCACCTTTAAATTTTGTTTATAAATATACATATCAATACATTTAAAACTAATAGTATTCCATTATTATTATTAATTTGATATATATTATATTTACTAATAGGTATCATATTTATGCAATATTATTTTAATATATATATTTACTAATAGTAAATCTAATTATTTATTATTGATATTTATATATATATTTACTAAATGAGTATCATTATTGTTATATTATTCAAATCATATATTTTTTTACTAATAGTATCATTATTATTATTATTATTATCCAATATAATATTTTTTACTAATAGTATCAATTATTATTATTATTATCAATATTATATATTTACTAAATATATCTTATTATTATTGAATATTTACTATATATTTACTAAATAGTATTCATTATTATTATCATTATTCAATATATATATATATATATATATATATTTACTAATAGTATCATTATTAATTAATTAATATTTAAAAAAATATATTTTCATATACTATGCATTATTATTATTTATTATTATAATATATATATTTACTATAGTATGCATTATTATTATTATTATTATTTAATATATATTTTTACTAATAGTATCATTATTATTATTATTATTCAATATATATATATATATATATATATATATATATATATATATACTAATAGTATCATTATTTATTATTATTTAATATATATATTTACTAATAGTATCATTATTATTTTTTAGTATATATATTTTTTTGTTCTCAGAAGCGGGAGGTGTGGGTGATGTGGAGGACGAGGTGGAGGACAAGTCGAAGGTGGTGGACCCGCTGTTCCCCGATGACTTGGACCACATCCCTTACTCGCGACCCAGGTGGGATCTAAGGCTCGTCAATTCTCTCTCTCGTGTTGTCTTTTGTCAATTCTCTCTCTCTTGTTCTTCATTCTCTCTCTCTTGTTGTCTCTTTCGTTTGTCTTTCATGGTCTAAGGCTTGTCAATTCTCTCTCTCTTGTTGTCTTTTGTCAATTCTCTCCCTCTTGTTGTCTCTTTCGTTTGTCTTTCATGGTCTAAGGCTTGTCAATTTTCTCTCTCTTGTTGTCTTTTGTTGTCTTTTGTCAATTTCTCTCTCTTGTTGTCTTTGTCAATTTCTGTTGTCTCTTTCGTTTGTCTTTCATGGTCTAAGGCTTGTCAATTTTCTCTCTCTTGTTGTCTCTTTCGTTTGTCTTTCATGGTCTAAGGCTTGTCAATTTTCTCTCTCTTGTTGTCTCTTTCTTCTGTCTTTCATGGTCTAAGGCTTGTCAATTCTCTCTCTTGTTGTCTTTGTCTTCTCTCTCTTGTTGTCTCTTTCTTTTGTCTTTCATGGTCTAAGGCTTTTCAATTTTCTCTCTCTCTTGTTGTCTTTGTCTTTCATGGTCTTAAGGCTTGTCAATTCTCTCTCTCTTGTTGTCTTTTGTCAATTTTCTCTCTCTTGTTGTCTCTTTCGTTTGTCTTTCATGGTCTAAGGCTTGTCAATTCTCTCTCTCTTGTTGTCTCTTTCTTTTGTCTTTCGTGGTCTGTGTGAGGGTAAGAGGGTGGTCTTATTCGGGGTCTGGCGATTCTTTTTGTCTTGTTGGCTATTTCTCTGTCTTTCGTGGTCTGTGTGAGGGTAAGAGGGTGGTCTTAGCGCGTGTGAATGAAAGAGGGTCTTGGATTGTGGTTTCATTCTGTTGGCGATTCTCTCTCTGTCTTGTTGTCTCTCTTCTGTCTTTCATGGTCTGTGTGAGGGTAAAAGGGTGGTCTTATACGGGGTTTGGCGATTCCTTTTGTCTTGATGGCTATTTCTCTCTGTCTTTCGTGGTCTGTGTGAGGGTAAGAGGGTGGTCTTAGCTCGGGTGAATGAAAGAGGGTCTTGGATTGTGGTTTCATTCTGTTGGCGATTCTCTCTCTGTCTTGTTGTCTCTTTCTCTTGTCTTTCATGGTCTGTGTGAGGGTAAAAGGGTGGTCTTATACGGGGGTTTGGCGATTCCTTTTGTCTTGATGGCTATTTCTTGTCTTTCGTGGTCTGTGTGAGGGTAAGAGGGTGGTCTTAGCTCGGGTGAATGAAAGAGGGTCTTGGATTGTGGTTTCATTCTGTTGGCGATTCTCTCTCTGTCTTGTTGTCTCTTTCTCTTGTCTTTCATGGTCTGTGTGAGGGTAAAAGGGTGGTCTTATACGGGGGTTTGGCGATTCCTTTTGTCTTGATGGCTATTTCTCTCTGTCTTTCGTGTCTGTGTGAGGGTAAGAGGGTGGTCTTAGCTCGGGTGAATGAAAGAGGGTCTTGGATTGTGGTTTCATTCTGTTGGCGATTCTCTCTCTGTCTTGTTTGTCTCTTTCTCTTGTCTTTCATGGTCTGTGTGAGGGTAAAGGGTGTCTTATACGGGGGTTTGGCGATTCCTTTTGTCTTGATGGCTATTTCCTCTGTCTTTCGTGGTCTGTGTGAGGGTAAAGAGGGTGTTCTTAGCCTCGGTGATGAAGAGGTCTTGGATGTGGTTTATCTGTTTGGCGATTCTTCCATTTCTCTCCTTCCCACCCCGTGCCCTC